CAAGTCGGCACCATCATTGCGCTCTTCCCGGGCGAGGCAGATCAGTTGCTGGCTTCTGGACAGCTGCTCACTGCAGCTGCTGGCCACTCACACTGGCTGCTGGCTACATACGGTAGCCCATGGCAACCCACTGCCACAGGGGCTGCAGACTACGCCATCGCTGGTGACTCATGGCAGCTCAGCTTCAGGTTGAGCTGTTGTTCAGCATCTTAGCTGTGGAGGGCAGTGTCACTGGCCCTCATATGTGGGATCCAAACCAGGGCACTCTGGCATCCCAAGCCAGCTCTTAACCAACGTGCCACTTGGCCGGCCCTCGTTGTGTTTTTCTTTCATTTAAGTAAATTCCACTTGGGATTTATTTTGATGAAACTTGCTCTCAACCTCTATCCTTGTAATTTTTCAAACAGTGAAGTGATCAACCATGTGGTGAAATCTTTTTCCCACTGATTTGTTATATGCCCATCATGTAAATTCTCATCTACACTTGAGTCTTTCTCAAAGTCTTTTTATTGGTCAATTTTTGGATTAAGTAAAATAGCACTTCGTATTTTAATCATTTTTCAGCCCTATCATGAAGAAGAAGACCAAGAGTCAAGTGAAGAAGGCAGTGAAGAAGATGTGGAGGTTGGGGATGAGATAGCAGAGGAAGCAGAAGTTAAACAAAGGTAAAAAGATGGGAGAGGATGTCAAAACAAAATAAATAAAAGGGTTAGGAAACTTTTATTATTATAAATTATTATTATTATTATAAATATTTCTTGAATTTCTTGCAATGGATGCAGTTTGAGAACAGTGCTTCTTGTATCAAAGGATCATTGCTACTTTAATTTTGTGCATATTGTTAGTATGCGATGTTATTCTGTCTTGGTTTCATCTCGTGACTGTTAGGTTTTCAGAACTTACTAACAATCATGTACTTGGTTGGCTGATTCAGTGAAGTTCCCTGAGTGAATAAGCGTAACCTGTCTATGTACCCACTTTGCTCTTTTGCCCCCAGAACAGATTCTCATTGGAGTGCTGTCCGAAAAGCTCTCTCCGAGGTTGGTATCTCATGTCTTGTCAATGGTGTCTTACTTTATTACCCAATAGTTCTGCTAAAGTTCAAATTCAAAGCAGGATGGAGACATTGGAAGATAGCATTGGATCTTAAACAGGGTCCAGAGCATGGAATGTACAGAGCCCAAAACTTATATTCCTGGTTTAGTAAGCTTGTGCTCTAAGTAGCATTTCCTACTAGGTCTTTTCTGTAAGAAGAGTGGATTTGAGGGCTTGAAAATATCTCTCATTGATTCTGCCTGAATTTTATAACGTTCGGGTAAAGACTGCTGTGAAATTTCAGTTACTCTGAAAAATTCAGAAAAGCTCAAAAAAGTAAGAAATTATCCATAATCTTATCTTTTAAAAAAATATATAACAAAATGAAAATCCACTCCCCCCATAGGTAACCACCATTAACAGTTTGGTAAATATCCTTTTGACCTTTTACTCTGCTTCTCACTTACATGGACATGCTCTTGCGTGTATGTGTGTACAAATATGCAAAAAAACCATTAGTTCTTCAATTCATATCATTTGTGACATTAACTCATGTTACATTGCGTATGTTGTGGAGTGGGACAGGAGGAACATTTTGATCAGGGATGTTCCAGAGCACAAAGGTCTGCCCACAGGGCATGGTGGCATGGGGTTTAGGTCCTTAGGAGAGGCTAGAATTCAGTGATGGCCTCTTCTCAGGAATTTGGGATTAAATGCTGTGTTTGTCCATTAATGTCTATGCATTTGTGTTTTCCTTTTTTGGGTTGCATTTGCTGTAGTGATAAAGAGGATATTATAGAGGTGAGGAAACATGAATGAAAACAAGCAAATCAATTTGTTTTTCCCATCTTCAGCAGGTAAACACTGTTGATGTGTTGACCACGATGGGAGCTATTCCTACAGGGTTCAGGCCTTCCACACTCTTCCAGCTTCTGGAGGAAGGTAACAGGTGTCTGTCAGCCACCATAGACTTTTAGTTAAGCTGTCAAACTTTACATCTAATTTCCTTGTTTTAGCCAAAACAAGTTGTTTAAAAAGATGTTGAACCTCACATTTCATTGACGCTCATCTTTTCCTTGTCTTTCCTGTGACAGTGGAGGAAGGATCCGTGATCCTATCAGAGGCGAGCCTGTCTACCTGTGTTCTGGGCTCCAGCCTCTTTCCTTTATTCCAGAAACATGACTCTTAATTGTCAGCGCTTCCCTTCCCCCACCAGCTTCTCCCTTCATCAGCAGTACTGGCATGCCTAATACCTCCCACCTCTAAGAACCAGCCTGTCCAGCCCTGTCCCTTTCTAGGCAAGGCCTCCCTTTCTCTGCTTTTCTTCACAGCAAGACTTTTCCAAAGAGTTATCTCCATTCACCTTTTCTATTTTCTTCTTGTTCTTGGATTTCCTTGTACTTGACAATGTTTATTCATAAGCTTATTTTAAAAAGGAGTGATGTTGGGCGAGGCTGTCCTGATACCTGACTTGTGGAGTTATCTGTGAAAGGACTGCTTTGAGGTTCCTCTGCTGAGAAACTCCTCTCAGCACCCCTTGAACGCCCAACTCCTTCTTTTCCTTTGGGTGTTAGGTTAAATTCTACTTTCCCAGAGAAGCCTTGAGTAATGTAAGTTCCCCTCGCTTCAGTCCACCTGAGGACCCTTTATGGGTCTAGGTCATATAATTATCTTATTTATTCTCTTGTTTACGTAATTTTTTAATTGTTTTCCCTACTCAACTGTAAACAAAGGAGAGCAGGACCATATTTCTGTTCACATTTGTATTTCTGGGTTTTAGCATAGTACGTGGCACAGAGTATGAACTCAAAGATGACTTCACAAATGAATTTATGATTTTGTAATGAGAATTCTTTATGACTAAAGTATGGAAGAACACTATAAAGTAGTTTTGTGTTAAGAAGTAAAATTAGTGATTTTATACTTTTCTAAATCTCCAAAAAGAGTTTATAGATTTCCTGCATTTTACAAAAATATTTGAATGGATCGTCATCATCACGGGCCATGTTATTGGCCTAAAAGTCTTTCAGGTCTTTCTTAAAGCTCTTTTAAGATCAGCTTTTATGTGCTTCTCTTCTTATGTTTCCTCTATTCTTTTTATGTGTAAATTTCTGTTGGTACCTCTGTCTTAGGAAGCCTGTTTCTAGCAAGCAGTTTGGCCTTTTGGAAGTCTGTTTCCTAAATTTGTAGCATAACATCATAGATTTTTGGCTTTGAATTTTATTCCTTTCTTTGTAAGAAAACAAAGAAAAAATTATTTTTGCAGGGAATCAGTTTCGAGCAAGCTACTTCTTACAGCCGGAGCTCGCTCCTTCGCAGCTGGCCTTCAGAGATCTCATGTGGAATGCTAAGACAGGCACTGTAAGTATAGTTACTACTGTAGGATTATGAGTTTTCCAGATTGTGTTGTGGTTGCAGGTATACCAATAACATGTAAATTAATTAATACATTATAAAAAACAGGAAAAAATGTTTTCTGTATTGTGATTTTGAAACAGTGTTAATTTCATAGCTAACACAAAATTTGGGTTTCTTACTGTGGTTTTATCTTATTTCTCTTTTCCATGTTCTCTTCTCCCATTGTTACAAAGGAAATAGTACTATGTATCTATCTTGTTCTTTGCCTCAATTTCTTCATCTGTGAAAAGGGGATAATAATAATACTTCCAACATAGGATTATTGTGAGAATTACATTATTTGTATGAAGGTGCTAAGAACAGTGCCTGGCTCATGATGTGTTAGCAAATATCATTATTATTATTAGTAGTAGTATTTTAATTAAGTAGGATTGAGGACACTAGTAGTACTTTATACTTCTTTGGGGATAGCTTAGAGCTTAGAGTAAAGGATTGTTGTATCCCCAGTATTTGAAGTAGGAAATACTCTTTTTTAAAAAAGATTTTTTACTGGGGAATTGGGGAAGAGGAACAGACAAGTTGCTGTCCTTTTCTTCTTCAGTCTAGTTGTGGAGGACCTCGCTTCACTGGCCCATGATGGTATTGTGATCACTGTGCTCTTCCCGGCTAAGACAGATCGGTCATCCACCATTGGACGGCCACTCACGGCGGCTCATGGCTGCTCACGCTGGCTGCCGGCCACTCACAGTAGCTCACGGCAGCTCACTGCAGCCCCACTGCAGCCTACGCTGTCGCCGGCGACTCACTGCAGCCCAGCTCCAGGTCAAGCTGTTGTTCACCATCTTAGCTGTAGAGGACACAGCGTCACTGGCCCATGTGGGATCTGAACCTGCGGCCCTGCTGTTCAGAGCTTGCACTCCCAAGCTAACTCTTAACCAACGAGCCACTTGGCCGACCCTAAAGTAGGAAATACTCTTTATACTTAATTCTACTCTCTGACTTTTTAGCAGATATAAACTGCATTACAACACATCACTCCCCTTCCTGTTTACCTTCTAGTTTTTCTCCCTTCCTCCCCCAGAGCCTCAAGGGAAAAATAAGAGGACCCAGTGTGGTTAGGTTTTGTGGAGAGGGGTAGCACAGAATTTTAGTGCCCTTTGTCCTGTCAACCTGAGCATTGCCTGGAAACGTCTTAGTATTAAGTATCCTTTATTGCAAGTCAACAAAGATGCTGTATTTGGTCTGCTTAGTGTACTAGTACTGGAATAAGTGGCATTTAATTTATGGACTTACACCCAGAGAGCTAAATATTCAGCTCCCGTTTCTTAGATTGAAAAGGTGACAAGCTTTTACATGTTGTCTTATTTTTTCAATGATATAAGTATTTAAATGGAAAGGCCCATGACTGCAAAGCAGAATGTTAGGAATTGAAGGTATTCTTAAATAAGACCAGAAAGCCAGTTTATTTAATATTCTGAACTATACCTGTGAAGTAGAACTAAATAATTGCTTCCATGGTCAGTGCATTTTCTCTGTCAAAACATCTGTATAAGAAGCCAAAGAACAATGTAGATAAGTGCTTGGAATTAAAGGAGGAGCTAGCTGGATACAATGAATGCTAGTGTGACTGACTACATTACCCACATTGTAGAAGAATGACTGTGAATGAACCTGGAGTACCATGATTCTATGGTCAGGTCACACATTTTATCTGATTACATTGACTATTCATTACAAATTTTATGCATTTACCTCAAAATGCAAATATTTCAAATATGAAAAATTTACCTGAAAACTTTACCTAAAGTTTTTATTTAAATTGAACATACTATTGACACTTTTCTTGTGGGTGTATATTTCTGTGCATAATTTTTTCTTTTATTCTTTTTTATTCTATGTACATATTCTTAAGTATTTATAAAAGATGCTTTGAAAATGAATTCGTCTTACAAGTCATGAAAGTAAACCTTTTTTGTACTAATTTCTCTCTCAGATTAGGTCAAGACCAAGTCATGTTTCTTTGATTCTGACCCTCTGGAGTTGTAAGATGATCCCTCTTCCAGGAGTGAGCATCCAGGTTCTCAGCAGACATGTGCGGCTTTGTCTGTTTGATGGTAATAAGGTGAGCATATTGAGGAGCACATCGGTTCACATCAGGTTGGAAAACGTTTTGTTAATGCCACATGTTAAACACGTACTGCATCGGGTTCATCTGTTTCTGTGTCTTTCGCTCGGTCTCTCTCTTTTATTATATGTCTACGTGTGTGTGTGTGTGTGTGTGTGTGTGTGTGTATGTGTGTTTATTTTATGTGTATGTGTGTGTTTGTGTATGTTTGTATGTATGTATGTGTATATGAATATGTAAGTATATGTGTACATATACATATATGTGTGTGTGAATATATGTATACGTGTATATATGTGCATGTGTATATGTATATGAAGGTGTGACAATTAAGTTCATGAACTTGTTGCAACGATGTAGCTAACCTTTTTTGATATCGGAGGGATTATTTATCATGAATTTGTACCAACTGGACAAACAGTTAACCAAGTTTACTATTTGGAAGTGCTGAAAAGCCTGCATGAAAAAGTTAGACAACCTGAACTTTTCGCCAACAGTTCATGGCTCTTGCATCACAACAATGCACCAGTTCACATGGCACTGTCTGTGAAGGAGTTTTTAACCAGTAAACAAATAATTGTGTTGGAACACCCTCCCTACTTACCTGATCTGGCCCCCAGTGACTTCTTTCTTTACCTGAAGATAAAGGAAATATTGAAAGGAAGACATTTCGATGACATTCAGTACATCAAGTATAATCTGACAACAGCTCTGATGGCCATTCCAGAAAAAGAGTTCCAGAATTGCTTTGAAGGGTGAACTAGGCACTGGCGTCAGTGCATAGCTTCCCAAGGGGAGTACTTCTAAGGTGACAATAGTGCTATTCAGCAATGAGGTATGTAGCAGTATTTTCTAGGATGAGTTCGCGAACTTAATTGTCAGACCTTGTATATGTATATGTGTGTATGTGTTCATGTATACGTGCATGTATAAGTATATATGTGTATGTATGTATGTATGTATGTATGTGTATGTATATAAAATAATATGTGCTAGAATGCAAAACACATGGGTTCTGATGACATAAGCTTACCTCCTGGCTCTATTCCCTTGCTAGGTATGTCATGCTGTCATACATATCGCAGTTAACTCCTTAGATTTCCACCTACAAAAAGGTACTGATGCTTGTATTGTATACATACAATACACATGTACTGCATTTTTTACAAATGTACACCCCTGTATAACCAACACCCCAATCAGGATATGGAGCATTACCCTCATCTTTCAACATTTCTTCGTGTCCTTTTGCATTTTACTCCTCCTTGATCCTCAAGAGAATATTTTTACCCATTATCAAAGAAAGAATTTGAATGACTCTTAAAAACTTAATGATCTGTTTGTGAGCTATAGCTTAAACAGTGCTTAGATGGAAATTAAGAAGTTTAATTGCATATACTAGACAGGAAGAAAGGTTTGAAATCAGTGATCTAAGCTATCAACTCAAGAGGCTAAAAAAGGAAGAATGAGTTAAACAATAAGAAAATAAAATGAAGGGCCGGCCAAGTGGCGCATTGGTTAAGAACTGGCTTGGGGCGCCAGAGGGCCCCGGTTCGGATCCCACATATGAGGGCCAGTGATGCTGCCCTCTACAGCTAAGATGCTGAACAACAGCTCAACCTGGAGCTGGGTTACCGTGAGTTGCTGGCGATGGCATAGGCTGCAGCCCCTGCAGTGGGTTGCCATGGGCTATCGTGTGTATCCAGCAACCAGCGTGAGCGGCCCTCAAGCCGCTGTGAGCGGCCATCCAGAAGCCAGCAACTGATCTGCCTCGCCTGGGAAGAGTGCAATAATGGTGCTAACTTGGGCCAGTGAAGCAACGTCCTCCACAGCTAGACTGAAGAACAAAAAGACAGCAACTTATCTGTTTCCCTTCCCCCAATTCCCCAGCACTGTTCCCATCCCCCAATTCCCCAATGGAAATCTTTAGGAAAAAAAAAAAAGAAAGGCAAAAGTTTATTCTTTGAAAAGATTAGTAAAATTGAGAGATGCCTAGTAAGACTGATCAATAAATTTTAAAAAGGGATAGAGAAAGAAAATAAATGATCAGTATCTGACATGAAAATGGAGACCTCACCGCAGATCCTGCAGACATTAAAAGGATAACTAGGGATATTATAAACATCTTTATGCCAATAAATTTGACAATGTAGATATAGATAAATTCCTCAAAAACCATAATTTATTGAAACTGATATAAGAAAATTTAAATAAATCCTATTAAAGAAATTGAAGCTGTAATTTAAAATCTTCCAACAAAGAAAACTCTAGGCCCAGATGGCTTCACTAGTAAATTCCTCCAATCATTTGAGGAAGAAATAATACCAGTGTTATACAAACTCTTCCAAAGAATACATAAAAACAAAATCCTTCCCAATTCATTTTATAGGGCCAGGAAAGACATGATTCCAAAATATGATAAGACATTACAAGAAAGAAAAATTATAAGACCAGTATCCCTCATAAATATTGAAACTAAAATCCTAAACAGAATATTAGCAAGTTGAATTTCATGACTAATTAGGGAATATTGAATTTGAATTATAGGAATTCAAATGCACACACCTGTGTAACCAACATTTAATATTTGAATATAGATTATTGTAATGTGCTATATTAACAGAACTAAAGAAAAATGTATGATCATCTCAATAGATATAGAAAAATATTTGACCTAGTTTAAGACCCATTCATGATTTTTAAAAAATTCTCAATAAACTAGGAATAGAAGGGGACTTCCTCAAATTGGTAAAGAGCAATTAGAGAAAACTAAAGTTAGCATCATCATACTTAATGGTGAAATACTGAACACTTTTGCACTAAAATCAAGAATAACTCAAGGATGTCCAAGAAATAAAAAGGTAACTCAATTTTTTAAATGGGCAAAAGACTTGAACAAGCACTTAAAAAGAAGAAAATATATGAAAAACTAAGAGGCATATAATAAGTCATCAGGGCATCACAAATTAAAACCACAGTGAGAGAGAGCCAACCATAGGCTATGTACAAGAAACCTAGCTTAAATATAATAATATGGTCAGGCTAAAAGTAGAAGGATGAAAAAAGATATAGCATTCAAAAGATATTAATATCAGACAAAGTAAACTTTAGAACAAGGACAATTACCAGGAATAAAAAGGTACACTGCATGATAAAAGGGACAATTCACCAAGAAGACGTAACAATCCTAAATGTGTGTGCACCTAACATCAGAACTTCCAAATACATGAAGTAAACTTAGATAGAACTGAAAGGAGAAAGGGCAAAGCCACAGTTATAGTTGGAAACTTGAACACTTCTCTCTCTGTAATCTATGGAATAAGCAGACAGAGAATTAGTTAAGGATATAAAAGAACTGAATAACACCATCAACAAACTGGATCTAATTGGCATTTGTACAACACTTCACTCCAAAATAGTAAAATACACGTTCTCTTAAGTGCATATGGAACAATCAGCAAGATAGATGTACCCAAGCAAATTGAAAGGATTGAAATCATACACTGTACAGTCTGTGATTACATGGAATTGAATTAGAAATCAGTAACAAAGATAACTGGAAAAAAATCCTTAAATATTTGGAAATGAAACATATTCTAAACAATCAGTAGGTTAAAAGGAAATTTCAAGGGAAATTAGAACATATTTTGAACGGAACAAAAAAGGAACATGTAACATATAATTGGTGGAATATTGGCTAAAGCATTGCTTGGAGGGAAGTTGATAGCACTGGGTGCTTACCTTAGAGAAGATTCTCAAGTGGATGGTTTGACTTTCTCCGGAGAACGTGATACTTGAGTTGAGATCTGAGGGGTGAATAGGCCTTTACAAGGTGAAGAGAAAGGGAAGCGTGTGCCTGGCCCAAGGAGTAGCACAGGTGAAGGTCTTGGTGGGGAAGGACTTGGAATTGGGAGGCCAGTGGGGCTGAGTGGAGAGAGTGAGGGGAACTGCAGATTGGGATGAAATGGGAGATGTCAGGAAGGAGTACAGTGTAGGACGTTGTAAGCCATGGTGTAAGGGAGTTTTGTCTTTATCCTAAAAACACTGAGAATTACTTGGGGAAGTGACATGATATAGTTTATGTTTTGGGATTAGCTCCACTGGCTTCTCTCTGGAGATGGATTATGGAGGACAGAAGGGATATGAGTAGAACATTTGGGGGCTATGGCACAATTTGGTGGTCAAAGCAAGTGTCGCTTTCAAGAAAACAAAAACTGGAGCCAACCTGCCTAGGATTAGCTTTGGCTCCACCATCTGCTAAGTGTGGGATGCTGAGCAGAGTACTTGACCTTGTTCTCACTTTCCTCATCTGGTATACATCTCTTAGGATCAGTTTGAGGAATAAATGAGTTAACATAAATAAAGCACTTAAAACAATACATGGAACATAGTAACTGTGATAGATGATGATGACTTAGATTACGAAAGTGGAGGTAGAGATGAGAGGTAAAAACCAACACAATTTGGTGATGGATTGGATATAGTGGGTGAGAGAGAGCAGGGTGCCAATAGTGGTGACATTCAGTGAGATCAGGAACGCTGAAAGCAGATCAGGTCTGGAGGAATTTGTGGATTTAGCTTTGCTTACGCTGAGTATACTAACTCATGGCATGAGGAAAGTGCCTTCCTTCCTTTAATCTGAAATGGGAGTAAATACGAGTAAACGAACTTGTGTTGTTATTAGTGATCCTCCCTCACTTCCGCACTCTGCACAAAACACTGCGATAAATGAGCCAGTAAGTGTCCTCAGTGACCAAGATGAATTGCCTTCTTTTCCTTAAATCTAATTTGATATTCCTCTCCCTGTTCTCATAGATGAGAACATAAAGCAAAGATTGGAATTTCATTTTGAATAACATATCAAAATAATAGACATTATTTTACAGAAAAACAGAAGTTAATTTATGAAAATAATTTGTTAACTTTCCAAATTGAGAAGTTATAAAGATATTCATGCTATTGACTTAAGAATGCTTCTTTGGGCCGGCCGAGTAGCTCAGTTGGTTAAGAGCTTGCTTAGGAGCACCAGCTCTGAGCAGCAAGGCTGTGGTTTGGATCCCACATTAAGGGCCAGTGACGCTGCGCCCTCTACAGCTAAGATGATGAACAACAGCTCGACCTGGAGCTGGGCTGCTGTGAGTCCCCGGCGATGGCTTAGGCTGCAGTGAGGCGGCAGTGGGCTGCTGTGACCTACATGAGTGGCTGGCAGCCAGCGAGAGCTGCCATGAGCGGCCAACCAATGACTGGCGACTGATTGCCTCACCCGGGAAGAGCACAATGATCATACCAACATGGTCCAGTGAAGCTATGTCCTCCATAACTAGACTGAAGAACAAAATAGCAATTTGTCTACCTGTCTGTTCCCCTTCCCCAATTCCCCAACGCTGTCCCCCTCCCCCAATTCCCCAATAAAAAAATCTTTAAGAAAATATAAACTAACGAGACACTGCTTCTAGTAATGGATGAGTAAGCTCTTCTCAGACCAACTTGCCCAGCGGTGACAGCTGTAAATTCTGGGTGATATACAAAAAGCATCTCCCTGAAGGCACTGCAAAGCATCTAAAAGCAGGCAGATACTGAGAGGAGTCTGAAATCATTAGTCTGCTATTTTTTCTTTCTGTTTATTCCCTCTTTTTCGTTCCTCTTGTTTCTTTTCCTGCCTTGGTGTGTGTTACTTGAACATTTCTTAAAACTCCATTCTGAATTATCTGTAGTGTTGTTGAGTGGGTCTCTCTTTATAGCTTTTTTAGTGATTGCTGCAGGTGTTATTTTTACGTACACAACTTACCATAGTCTACTAGTGTCACTATTCCAGTTTGAATAACATATAGGAACCTTACCTCCCTTTACTCCTCTCTACCCTTTCTCCTTTCTAATATAATTATCTTAAATATTTCCCTTATATACATTGAGAACCATATTGTACAGTATTATAATTTTTGCTTGAACTATCAAGCATAATTTAGAAAACTCAAGGGTAAATGAGTTGTACTTACCCTTATTTTTACTCTTCCCATTGTTCTTCCTTCCTGATATTCAGAGATTTCTTCTTTTATTGAGTCCTTCCTCTTTAAAGAATGTCCTTTAATCTTTTTGGGTAGGCTTGCTGGCTGCAGACTCTCTTAGTTTTTCTTTATCTGAGAATGTTTCATTTCCCTCTCATTCCTGAAGAATATTTCCAGTAAATATAGAATTCTGGGTTGACAATTCTTTTCTTTGGCATTTGACAAATATCGTGCCACTTTTTTCTGGCCTCTGTGGTTTCTGATGAGAACCCACTGTCTTTTTGTTGTTGTTGTTGTTGTTGTTGTTGTAGAGGGCAGTGTCACTGGCCCTCATATGTGGGCTCCGAACCGGGGCCCTCTGGCGTCCCAAGCCAACCCTCAACCACTGCGCCACTCGGCTGGCCCCCCTCCCACTGTCTTTTGAATTGTTTCCCTATCAATTAATTGAGCTGTTTCTTCTCTCATTGCTTTCCAGATATTTCTGTTTAGTTTTCAGAGGTTTATGCTATATCTTGGCATAGATTTTTTGGGTTTATCCTGTTTTGGATTTGTTCAGCTTTTTAAATCTATAGTTTGATATCTCTTGCCAAATCTGAGGATTTTTCAGCCATCATTTTCTCTAATATTCAGTTCCAAACTCTCCTCTTATCTGGGAGCTCAGAATAAATAAAATGCAGTTTCACATTAAACAGCAGGTAATAATTAGGAGGAGTTTGTTCTCCAGGAGTCCAGGTTGAAAATATATTATTTTAAGCAGAGTTTAAGTGAAATTCATATATATTAGGTGTTGAAGGTAATGGGGACTTTATGTGGAAAACCCACTTGGCTACCTATATTATACTCCTAGCTTCTACCAGTAGAAACCTCGAGGGCAGTGAATTGAATTTGACCTAATATGACATGTTTGGGATAATATATAATTACTTTTAAGGCTTAGTTTTAGAAGTGCTACACTTAAATATTTTTATCAAGAATAAAAATTATATATTATCTATCCCTTTGGAAGATGTCCATTTTGGCCATGACTTTATAGAATCTGAACTCTTTTTACAGTTTTTGCTCCTTTTATGTTTCATTGTTTTATGTATATTGTAGGATTAACTTCTTGCTGTAGCACTTTATAAGAGATTTCAGGAAGAATATAACTTATGGGCCTAGAGATCTTAAAGAAAACTAAACTGTGTATCTGAGCTGTTCGCATGGTCTGTCTTAGGGGCAGGGTAATAGACTATACCTCAAATGCTCTTATGGGTCACATTTCTTAAAAGGTCGTCAGTACCTGAAATTTCACCTACTTTTCTGGTAAACCTATCTCAGTTATTAAATATTTCACTTAATATAGTTTATCACTAGCACAAAGATCTGAGCCTGAATTCATTTTATTAATTCCTTCATTGTTTTATAAATAAGTGCTGTAACACTTGTTTTTTGTTAATCATTTTAAAAGTTATGTATGTACTTGTTGTTAAGAGAGAAAAGAAATTACAGAATTGCACAAAGAAGTGAAAGAGCCCTTCTCCCTCTGTTCTACCCAGTATAGCCACTTTTAACTGTTAGGGACATGGAAGTGCTGATGTTTCAGAGAGCTTTCTATATGATTTCAAATGGGAAAATCTCATTTCAGGTTCTGAGCAACATTCATACAGTCAGAGCCACATGGCAACCTAAAAAACCCAAAACATGGACGTTTTCTCCCCAGGTGAGTCATCTGCTGAGTGAATGAAATAAACATGAACTTCTTTTACCGGTTAAGTGTTATGCAATTGATTTCTAAGACGAGGCTGTTAAAGTATATTTATGAAATAACATGTTTAGTACAGAATATATGGGGTCATATTTGAATCTTTAGATTGATTATTTAATGTTCTTTGAGGACTTTGATAAAAATTACTCATGTTTCTGACTCACCAAAGTTATAGGAATCTATGAATCATCTCATTCAATGGATTTCAGGGTTCAATTCTAGAAAATGCCTTCTGATGGAAAACGAAAACAAAAAAATAACATTTAGGAAGTGTTTTTCAAAAATGAAATCTCCAACTGTGTTAGTGAGAGCTGTACTTTCCTCAGATGAAATCAAGGGTGACGTCTAGGGTACTGGTACATCACACCAAGGGATTGCCAAGACTGGGACAAGAAGAACCAGAATAAGTTTTGGTGGTTTCACACCACTGAGTCAGTACTACGTAGGGGCCGTGAAGACGAAGATATTTATGTTCTGTTGATAAGATTAGTTGTCTGTAGTTGATTTTACTTAAGTTTTTTCTTCCTCCAAGTTTTCATTGCTTTAATATTTACTTTTCTCCCACACTAGCTCCCATGCATCACTGCACCCTAAGAAGCTTCATTAACTTCCTCTATGGCTTCAAGAGATCTTAAAGCAAGACAAAGTTTCAGTGCGAGGGCACTGGATGTGGAGAAGGCCCAGCCACTGTGCTTGTGTGCTGCATGTAGCCACACATGTCTAGAGTACAACTCCTGAAAGTCCATTGTGGTCTTCTAAGCACCCTACTGCTTATATTTAAGCACAATACTTCACAATTCTGATATGGCATCTCTGTGTATGTAAAGTGTTTAGGGCAGAATTTTCTAATGTGGAAGGATATATAATAAGTATATGTTACTTTGTTGAATAAAATTAAGAATCTGTTAGGTGTGAGTCATTCTCCCTAGGTATTATAGGAACTTACATGATTATAGAGAAAAAACATATAGACATATAATAACAATATCTCTATGGAGCTCTAACTGTGTGTGTTATCTCATTTAATTCTTAGTGTAGCCCAATGTAGCACTGTTGATAACTATCACAAAGACAGAATGTGACTGTTATGGAGCTCCAAGTGCTGTGGAAGCACAGAGAACGGTGAAATTAATTATAGGCTCAGGAAGGTTTTGTAGAAGAGAATCTAGACCTTGAAGGATGGGTGGGATTTTAAGGCAGGAAAGAAGGATGTGGTTGTGCAGGGAGAGGGAATGGAATGAGCAAACAGGAAGGGAAAGAGAAATTCACAAGGCACGCCTCAGGAAAGTTGACCAATGTTTGTATGAAGTCTTTAATTTTAGTTCTGTTTACAAAGAACAATCAATGGTTAATACAAATATCTTACATATGCAAATGTTTTTGTCCACCTCTGGAGACTTAGGCATAGTATTTGTTTCACATTAGCCTGTCCTCTATGCAAAGGGTAAGTGAAGGTAAGTTTCCCTTTAACACAAAGTTAAATTTTTAAATTTCGAATACTTGATGTAGATGAGTTCAATCCATCTGCTTTTTGTTTCCTTTAAAATACCTATGATGCAAAGGCATAAACCATTTATAGGTGAATGGAGCTGAAACCTCCCTCTCAGTTTAAATTTTTATTAGTAACTTTGTTTTCTTATTGTTTCAGGTTACCGGCATCTTGCCCTGCTTACTTGATGGTGATTGTTTCCTCAGGTCTAATTCTTTATCTCCAGATCTTGGAATATTATTTGAACCTGGAATTTCTTATATTCGCAATGTATGTCGGTTGAAAGAAAAACTTTCTAATGTATTTAAAAGGGAAGTTTTTTTTTAAGCCTGTATCTACAAGTCAAATAATTGAGATGTTTATGTTTCATATGCTTTTAATCCTTGAGGAATGAAAATGGCAGTGATTCTAATTTACATATCCTGCTTTTTCAGTAGCATTTAAAATTAAAGTGTGGAAGATGCTCAGCATCACTAGTCACTAGGGAAATGCAAGTAAAAACAAAATATCCCACATGATTATAAAAAAGACAAGAAATAAGTGTTGGCGAGGATGTGGATAAAGGGGAACCTTCGTGCACTGTTGGTGGGAATGTAAATTGGTGCAGCAACTATGAAAAGCAGTACGGAGGTGCCTCAAAAAAATTAAAATAGCACTACCATATGACCCAGCAATTCTCCTTCTGGGTATTTATCTGAAGAAAACAAAAACACTAATTTGAACAGACATAGGCACCCCTATGTTCATTGCAGCATTATCCACAATAGCCAAGATATGGAAGCAACCAAAGTATCCATCAATGAGTGAATAGATAAGGAAGAAGTGGTACATATATACAATAGAATGTTATTCAGCCATAAACAAGAAGGAAATCTTGCCATTTATGACAACATGGATGGACCTAGAGAGTATTATGCTAAGTGAAATAAGTCAGACAGAGAAAGACAAATACCATATTATCTCACTTATATGTGGAATCTAAAAACAAAAGAAACTCATAGATGCAGACAGCAGATTGGTGGTCATAGGGGTGGGGTGGGGGGAGAAATGGGGTCAAAGATAAAAAGGAAAAACAAATGATACATTACTGTACAACACCAGAGAAGCTTACTATTCTCTAGTGACTTAGGACAAAACAAAAACAAACAAAAGACCTCTTTCAAAGAAGAAAAACCACCTCAAATTGGATGTAAGCTGCAAATATACTGAAACTAAACAGTGGCAGTGAAGCCATACCTCAAATTCTAAAGCTCATCTGGAAGATAATATACAATTTATGCCTAGAGAAAGTACACCACAATTCAATAACTATTACCTATAATTTTTTTTAATTAGTTCCAGGTGTACAAAACAATGTAATAGTTAGAGATTTACATCCCTCACAAAGTGATAACCCCCCACCCCCAATCTACTACCCCTGTTAAGCTGTCTTTTGTAACCCCATGGCAATCTGTGGTTACAATTTGCTCTTTCTAATCCCCTCATCTTCTCCCTCATCCCCACCCCCCTCCCATCTAGTAACCCTCAGTTTTTCCTCTGTATCTCTGAGACTGTTTCTGATTAGTTTGCTCATTTATTCTATTCTTTAGATTCCACATATAAGTGAGATCATATGGTATTTGTCTTTCTCCGTCCGTCTGACTTATTTCACTTAGCATAATATTCTATACTCTTAAATATGACCAAAAGTTTAGAAGATGAAAAAAGCAAACCAATCTATTCCCATTAAAATAATTTTCCTCAGGCCTACTCAGAAGTTTTCATTTGTGTCTTAATAGCTAGGATTAGAGTGACCTCCAGTGCTTTTAAAGAATGAAGATGTGGAAAGGATAGGACTTTGCAGAAAGTGATAGAAGATGCTCAGTGGCATTCCGCTATAGCAGTTTCCCTCTGTCCTAACCTTGTGTGAGGATTCTAATTAAGGGACCTGATTTTTTTAATAAAGGGAACACCAGAAACTTGGAGTAACTTAACGTCATATAAACTATTGAGCTAGTGGGTGTGGGTCTGTTATAGTAATTATATACCTCCATATTCTAATAGCTCGAAAGGTGTAATATATATACTTGGCCTCATGGTAACCCCAGGAGCCTTACATTAATGATATTACACCATCTTTTCATTTCTTTAATGCAAATTCATCCATATGTATTGTGGGTGAGTAGGACGGGAGATGAGCAGGTCCCCCGAGTGAGCCCCAGTAGCCTCTCACAGTTGACGGTAGGTTAAGTTCTGAGCAGAAAGACCCTTGAGTGGTTTAACGTGCTCATTCCGTCTCTCAGTGAGACACGGCTTAATGATCTCATGTGCTACTGATGTGATTTGAGCTCCTTCCACCACATACACCATTCAACATTTGCCACATCAGGTCTAGGGCTTTTCAAGAGCAATTTAACATGATGGGATTTTCACTTTACCATCTGGCCTACAAATACAAAGGGACTCCACTGTTTCACTTGATTTTCTTGTGAAGAATTTTTTAGTTCTCAAGGTAAATACTAATTTTGTTCCTTTAAAAGGACCTGGTATATGCTTATAAATTTGATTGTTTCAGACATTAAGTTTCATCTACTTTTTTATTTCCTAGTCAACCGGTGAAAGAGGAGAATTAAGTTGTGGCTGGGTGTTTCTTAAACTTTTTGATGCCAGTGGAATTCCTATTCCAGCAAAGTAAGTTGGCTATGTATTCCTTCCCAATAGGTAATTTTGTAGAAATTCATTTTTAAAAATCTAGATACCTCAGATTTACAGAATGTATGTTCTATTAGCATTTCAATAACTTTTGGGGAAAGGGCTTTTAATGTTGATTTTAATGTTCTTTTAAGTAGTATGTGAAAACAGCATGTACAGTTTTATCCTAGGGAGGAAGAAGCAACACATGTACAATAGAAAAACTACAATGTGGCCTCAGGGATAGAAAAGACAGTATATAATCAATATATACTGCCAGGGAATATAATCAATAATGTTGTAAATATTTTTTAGGGGGCCAGATGGATTCATGTCTTGTTAGGGAGACCACTTCATAGTCAGTGTAGAGGCCTGACCACCGCACTGGATTTCTGAAGCTGATGTTGAATAATAATGTATGTCAACTATAATTATATATACATATAGTCATGGGACATGGAGTAGAGTGTGGGAATGGAGTCAATGGAATTGTAATAGATAAGTATGATATCGGGAATGGGAAGGCAGTAGATAGGGGAGGGGGATTGTTTCTGTGTGAATGGTGAAAAGGATAACTATTGCATTGTTCTGTACACCTGAAACTAACAATAAAAAAAAAATAATAAAATAACATTAACTCCCAAAAAATAAGAAATTTAAAAAAAAAGGATTTTAAAACATGTTTGTACCAGCTGTTTGCTGAGAATGACCTTTCAATAATGTACTGTGGGATTAGCACATTTCACAGTGCTGAAATAGAGCCTCATTCTCTCCAAAGAGAAGGAAAGCTAAGTCCAGGGTCCCCAGGTCTTCTGTGACTCCACCTTTCTTCTGTATGTGGAACATTGAAATTGTCCTGGCAGCCACTGTAAACAAATTTAAAACTTAAGACCAAAAGGCAGACAGGTAGCAAATATTTGCAATATATCCCTAATGTAAAAAGAGCTCTCAAAAATTGAGAAGACAATCTATATTTTAAAATGGGTACACACAGAAATCTAAGTCTAGGATATAAACAAGAAATTCAGACACAAAGGGGACGTCAGCAAGATGATGACAACGAAGATCTCAGATTTGCAATTATAAAATTCAGGGCTCTGGTCCCTGCTGTATGTACCTGTAGATAGGTTCCTTAATATTTCCAAACCTCAGTTTTCCCCAACTTTAAAATTGGGGCGGGGGTTTACAATAGCCTAATCCTAAAGGTTTAATTCAGATAACGCTCCCCCCTACCTTTATTGATACCGCCGGGGTGAACATGACCGTCTTTACCACAACACAGAGGTGAAACCCCTGGCCACACTAGCGCTCTGATGTCACCCAGTGAGGGGGGAGGGGTGCTTTATTACCCAGCTCCTCACTCCACCCTGTAAACGTAGAAGCCCAGACTTCTTAAGACTTTGGGGAGGGGTTATTTTTAGTAATGTTCAGGGTTTTTAGTTGTACTTAGTGAGAAGGAAAGCTGTGTCTACTCCATCTTTCCTAAAATGAAGTCATAGTTATTATTTTATGAGGTAGAGGGCTGTGTATTGATACAGAAACATTTCCAATGAATACAATCATGTAACAAAAGCAAGTTGCAGAATCGTACATATACTGTGACTCAATAGTACGTATACTGTAAAACTGTGTTTATGTGCATCTGTCGGTGGGTTTATGTAAACTGTTCCCAGAGCTTGCCCCAAGGAGCAGGAGTGGAAAGCTGGTGCAATAGGATAAAAGAGGCCTTTTACCTTCTGCTTTCTACACTTTAGCAATTCGCAGCTTTAAAAGAAAATGTGTTCATTTTGATACTTACTGTGTGTATGTATTTATTGCATTTGCATAGAAAAAGATAGGACAAGGGGTAGTGGGGTGTGGGGGGTGGGAGGGTGTTTTCATTTTTTACTTATTATTTTTATGCCATTCAAACTTTTTACAACAATCTACATGTTACTTTTATATTTAAAAATAATATAAATTCATAATGGCTTCATTTCAAATGCTGATTCAAAATATTTTAAAAATGCATTTTAAATAACAAGTTATTAGAGTCAAAATACTTTAATGACATCAATTAATCTTTCTCATTTTAATGTGGAAGAATATATTTCTGCTGTTAAGACTGGGGGCACCAAAAAAATGTATGCAAGTGGACACTTTGGTCGACATTGCTCAAACAGTAACTTGCCGTAATCAGAAATGTCTGGATGCTGATGGTAACCACTTTGAGAACCTCTTATAATTGCAGAAGTCAAACGTGACTTGTATTCATCTTTTGTTATCGGTATATATTGAGTATTACAATTTTAATACAGTTTTCCTTTCTTAAAATATGTATACATTTTTTTGGCACCACCTGTAGTTAAGAAAGACAGCAATTTTATTTACTGAGATGATACCTCACACAAGGATCAACAACTTTAATTCTCATTTACCAATGAAACACAAATAAAATGCAAATTTATCTGTGTTTCAAAATATCCATCACAGGTTTTCGTCATAGCATACCCTTCTTTTGTAGGACTTATGAGCTCTTCCTGAATGGCGGCACCCCTTATGAAAAAGGTGTTGAAGTGGACCGTTCAGTGTCCAGAAGAGGTATAGTATAGCTCTTACAGGTTGCTTTCCTTCCTCTCCTTAGAGATCAAATAGAAGAGGCATCAGAGAAGATAGTTATATTCTAATATGTAAATAGTAAATTCACATTAAAAAATGTCATTCCATATTAAAATCTTAATCATTTTATTTGAGTATTTTCTTGGTAGCACCTATGAGACTTTACTGTAGGAAATGAGGAAGCATGAGAAGGCTGCATTTGCTCCTTCTCATTGAACACTCAGCTGAATTAATAGAATGGGCTAAGTCAGAGATTGCCTATCACTAGTCAGCTGGTGTAGACATTTGAAGTTGTGATGTACATGCCAAGTTGCCCTCCGGAAATACTGAGCACCTTTTAATGTGTTCACTGACCAGGCACTGTACCACATAATGGGGAATGGAGAGTAAGACAGATGTGGTCCTTGCCCCGTGTGGCTCAGAGCCTGACAGCATTGAAACACCCCCTCTGCTCCTTAGACCTGCCCTCCTTGTTTCATGGCCCAGAACACATAGTACTGCTGCTGCCCACCTTCTTGGAACAGGAAAGAATTGGGGGTCTGGGATGCAGGTGGTTTGACCTAAAGTTAGACGTGCTTTTTAGACTCCCTTTTTTTCTTTGTAATATGGCAATAGCAATGCTGTTGAAGTGTCTGATATAGTGGCAGCTCCAGGAATGAGCTCTGGTGCTGAAAATACTTTGTTATATTATAACAAAATGCTTTTTAAAAAAAATTAAAATACTTTGCTTTATTATACTCATTGTCCCCAGCACTTGAAGTTTTGACATTTATAAACTTTTTTTTAAGCACATGGGAGTGTTTTCCATCAGATGATGATGATGAGAAGGGAGCCTCAGCTTCTAGTAAAACTGAGATCTTTGAACAGAAGATCAAGAGACATACTCAGGTTGGTATGGCTTTCACTTGTTCAGTGAACTTGGGTCACTCAGCATGTGTAAATCATCTTTGCTTTTGGCTTCTTCTGCTTGGTCATCTTTTGTTGGTTATTTTTTTCCTCATTAATTCATCTGCCAAAGATCAGGAGGGAAATGGAATAGTAATAACATTCAGATTAACTTACTCTTTTATTTTTAGTTAGTGAAAATGATAGATTTGGTCAGAAATAATATAGAAATTTTTTACTAAGTGGGGCTTACTGATCCATGAGCCTATCTTCAGTGCACTTTTCTTTTTTTTAAGCTGAGCCATCCTGCCACCTGTTGGCAGCTCAGCGGCTGCTCAACTCAGGCTGGGCATCGAACCGCTGTTGCTCAGAGCTCAAACTCTTGAGCGAGCTCTTAACCAACTGAGCCCAGTGCACTTTTTTTTTAATGTTAAATTTGTTGAGATATAATTTAGGTGCAACAAAATTCACTCCTTCTAGCTTACAGTTCTTTGAGTTTTGTCAAATATATACAGTTGTATAACTACCACCACAATCAACATACAGAATGTGTCTATCATTCTAATAGTTATCTCTTCTGCTTTGTCATCAACGCCCCAAGCCCCATCCCCAGGCAACCATTCATCTATTTCCTTTCCCAACAGAATGTCATCTAAATTTTCCAGAATGCCATATAAATGAAATCATATAGTTTGTAGCCGTGTGAGTCTGGCTTTCACACAGCATAATGCTTTTGAGACTCATGCATGCCATTGCATGTGTTAATAGTTTATTCTTTTTTGTTCTAAATAGTACATACCTCAGAGATATTGCAGGTTTGGTCCCAGACCACTGCAATAAAGCACATATCAAAATAAAGCAAGTAACATGAACTTTATGGTTCCCCAGTGCATGTAAAAGTTATATTTACACTCTACTGTAGATTGTTAAGTGTGCAATAGCATTATTTCTAAAAATCAATGTATATACCATAATTTAAAAATACTTTATTGCTAATAAGTGCTAACTCATCTGAACCTGTTGGAAAAATGGTGCCAATAGATTTGCTTGACAAGGATTGCCACAAACCTTCAATTTGTAAAAAACACTGTATCTGCAAGGCACAATAAAGTGAGGTGTGCCTGTATTGTATTTGATGGATGTACCATAGTGTGTTTATCTAGCTACTAGTTGAGAGACAGCTCGGTTTTTTCTAAGCTTGGGCGGTTATGAAGAAAACTGCTGTAAATATTTGCATATGACTTTTTTGTATGTGGACATATGTTCATTTCTCATGGGTATAGACAACTAGGAGTGGGGTTGCTGGGGGAATCTGGTATTTGTTTACTTTATAAGATGTTGCCAAACTATTTTCCAAAATGACTATACCATTTTACACTCTCACCAGCAATGTATGAGAGTTCCAATTATTCCATATACTTGACAATGCTTGATATTATCAGTTTTTTCTGTTTTGGCCATTTTAATAAGTGAGTAGTGGTATCTCGTGGTGGTTTAGATTTGCATTTTCTTCAGGGAGTTTTTACACTAGTAGAATCCCAGGTCTATCAGTTTCTAACTCAGGAACCTCTTGGACAAGTTATTGAACCATCTCTCTTGGGGTCTCAATGTCTATGTCTTTAAAATGAGCACAGTAGAAATATCAACCCCAAAAGCAGTAATGAGATTAGGTTTGATGAAAAAAAGAAACATATAAAACACCTAGCTAATATTTATAATGAATGGCACAGTAAGTATGAGCTACAACTATTGACTACTGTAATGATTATATGTATAGATAAATGCAAATACAGTGCCAGGTAGTTGGTGCCATATGTCATAAGATTTGTCCAAATGAAGATGTGCTATGTAGCTAGAAAGATCAAGGCGCATATAGGCTTTGAAGGACTGGGGAGATGTGTTGTGTGAAGACATGAAGATATGGAGGCACACAGGGCTCAGTGGACACGGGTGGAGGGGGAACACGGGACGGGGGCAAAACTGATGCAGTTGGACTCTCCCACCACAACCTGCTCATTGTTGCAGTTATCAAGAAGTAAGATAATATTTGACATCACTCTTAACAATAAGTTTTTAAATATGTCTCCTCCTCCTAAATAAAAACTCGGCCTACTCCTCTAAAAGGTTGCTTTTCCCATTCTAGGTAATTCTCTTAGTTTAGATATCCCTTGTTCTTATCTCTAAAACTGCAATGTGTTTTATAATTATAGTATTAACAGTTAAATTTTTCAGTAACCATTAATAATTGGGTATTATTCATTCACTTGGCTTTTTTTCTCCTTGGATGTTCATAGAGCCTGTACATTCTTTTTTTTTTTTTTTTTTGCCAACCTTTCCTTGGAAAATTGTTATTTTTCAAGATTAAAAAACAAGAAGCACAGTAGCAATCTTTGTAAAGAAAAGCCAACATCCTGTTTGGCCTTATTCTTCCTTCTTTTCTAACACCTACTACCCACCATTAATAAGCCTCCCAGAGCTTTCCCCAGCATGTCTTTCAGCATAGCTCTTAATAGGGTTTCTTTGACCACAAATACTGGTTTGCAGATACATTTTACAACCTAGAGATCAAATCTGACTGGATAGTGCAGAGGTTGAATAGATGGGCCATTTCTCCAAGGCAGTGAATATTCTGGGGCTAGGCTCATAAAGAAGGCTCCTGAGTCCTTGCCCTCCAGACTTGAGGAACTGGGGCACTTGTTTGATTATAGCACACAGTAGGCACCAAAAATGTTAAGTAATTTCAAGGTAGAGAGCTTCCTCCTGGTGTAGAAGTACATCTCAGGGGCTCTGCTCGGCCTCTTGCTATGCCCGGGCCTCCCCTGCCTTAACCCTGTCTTGGTATGAGCTCTTCTCTCCTCCTGTAACCCACAGAGAGATTTGACCACTATCTTGAAATCGCCACTCCACTTCGTATGGTCTGAGGACATATACTCCCGGTAGTGTAAGTGGGGGTTGGGGTACCCTGCTAGTGGGACCCAGGCTCAGGCTGCATCTCACAGAAACCAGGCCATGGATGCAGCGAAGCCAGAGGACCCAGGGTTGTTGCAGTGCCAGGGGCTGTGCTGTGAGGGTTGTGCTGTAGGTTCCAGGTGAAAGGTTGGGCACCAACATGGGTGCTTTCAGACATCAGTGCTCTGAACCTGTATGCCCTGGAGGTGGAGACTAAAACAAGACTGATCCATTTCAGTCTCCTCTCCCTTGGACCACCGTCTTCAGTGGATTGAGAAGGCAGCAAATGATACTGTCAGCCTTCCTCCTCTCCTTGAAAAGTACCTCCTACCTCTGTCTCCACTCTTCTTTGACTTATGAACTTCACTTTGGTTTAGCCAAACTTCTCCATTTAAAGGAGAAAGGACAGAGGCTCTTTGCATTATGCCAGGGGACATGCAACAGTGGTGTCAGGGCCATGGGTGGGAAGCCCAGTTTGAGTGTGCATTAGTGCCCATTTTCACCCAGGTTCTTGCTATTTGGCCTTCTACTGCCCTCTCTTCAGCCAGCAGGTGTATATGTGAGTACCACTGGGTGTCGGGAGACCTGTGAAGATGCAGTGACTAATGTAGACTCACCTCCTTTACCAAAGAAATAGCAACAGAGTTCTGCCCACAGGTCTGATTTTGCAGACAGTATAATCATGGTGACCCTTTTCAGCATGAGACAAAAGAGGGAGTAAATAGATCCTTCAGTTTCACCAAGACTTGCCTCTCTAATTTTGGAGCTATTTTCCAAAGACGTTTAAGTTGATATGATTTGTCCAAAGGCCACTGATGAGGGAAAGCCCTGAATTTAGATTCAGACTCCCAGTGCCTGAGCTCTGAATACCAAGAAACACTGGTCTGTAGGAGTAGGCTGTGTGTGTGTATAAATTTGTTTATTTTCTTTGCCTTCTTTATGCATTCCATCTTTTTTTTCTTTCACTTCCATTTTATTGTTGCTAAAAATAAATGAGGCAATTGAATTACTTGCCTGGTGCCCATTATTACATGTGTTGCACTTCTGCCACCAGAGTTTGTTGGTCTATCTGTGAGGGCAGAAAGTATATTTTTACTTCTTCAGGTTAGCCAACCTTTTGTAGCTCAGAGCTTTCTAGTCATCTAATCAGAGGATTTCCGTGAAGAAAACACCAATAAAGAGCAAGCAGCATTGCCTCATGCTGTGAGGAGATACTAGAAGGAAAGCAATGCCCGCACTGTAGGAGGAGCAAGCTGGAGTTGATGCCTGCCAGACAGTGAGCAAGTGAGTCTGTGAGCGAAGGAAAGGGTAAAATGGAAGGAAGCTTCCACTCCTTCTCTTAGCAAAATCAATGGCTGTTCTTCAGTGTGAGACATGAGTTTGAGCATTCAGCTGAAACACTTCCCACATGGGCCATTGACCAGAGGAAGGACATAGAACGGTCTTTGGGAATCACAGCTTGAACACTGGGAAGGCATATGGAGGCATCAGGGTCACTTAAATGCAACCAGTCTTTGAAATCTGGGTCAGATATAGAAATCAGAATCAAGATAAGAATTTAAACAGGGTTGAAAAGAGATGATTTCTAACTTTGTGTACCAAATGCTATGTATGAATATAAGTGTCTTGCACTTTTGGATGTTTCTAGAAATGCAGGGGTTACAGAGTGGTTAAGGATACTTATTTAAATTCTATGAAACAAATTACCCATGTGGGTCCATTGCTTCCTGCACCATCATAGGAGTCACATTCATTCTGTTCTCTGTCAACAGGCTGGAAGCCTATTATCGCTGTGATTCATTTCTTTTTCTTTCAAAATCCTCATTCTCGAATGACAATAAAGGATTAATATACTAAAGTTAAACTCTCTTTTTAAACTTTTGGTAGTTTTTCTTAGCCCAAAGACATATTCCTTTTTGATAGAGGACATTGTATTCAAGGTTTCTGAGATTTTCTGTATGGTCTTTCTTCATGCTTAGTGACAAAGTTCATGTATTTCTAAAAATAACATTTAGAAAATGTATATTTAGAATAATTCAAAACATTTTCTTGAG